TAATAATAATAATAATAATAATAATAATAATAATAATAAATAAATAAATAATAACTAATATATATAATAATAATAATAATAATAATAATAATAATAATAATAATAATAATAATAATAATAATAATAATAATAATAATAATAATAATAATAATAATAATAACAATAATAATAATAATAATAATGATAGTAATAATGATAGTAATAATAATAGTAATGGATATTGCTTGCTCATCTGTTACACACATTGTTGGAAATAAACTTGAAAATTGTTCACTTCTGTGAAGAAATTTGTTCTTTTTTTTGACAGTAATCTTCATATTTATTAAAAAATAGATCTAATGATAATGAGAGTAGATAATACCAAGATATAACATCCATAAACAACAACTGACTCAACTGCTTATTGCAGTTGATAATTCAAGTTTTACTGATGCTTATTGCAGATTAATATGAAAAACTAATATAGTATGCGCATTATCTTGTATTATCAGCTTGCTGAAATGAATTATATGAACAACTGGTTCAGAGGTTATCAGTCAAACTTGAATTATCACTGCTTATTGCTGGTTAATATGCAAAAGTGATGCAGTATGCATATCACCTTGTTTGATCAGCTTATTGACATGAATAAATGGTCATTTTGTCAGTTTATTCATCCTCATCTATAATATGCTATTAATCGATAAAATAAATCAATATTTTATCATCCTTTAATCAAATATTAATTATTATATATAGGTATAGGATCGAACATTTTAAATATTAAAGTTTTTTGGTAATCAATCTTTTAAATGATTAGAATGCGAAGAAGGCGATGACAAAATAAATGTCACCTCTAAGGATGCATGACTTTTTGATATTTTGCAATAACAACTGAATAACTTTATCAGAATTATTACTAAGCTTTCATACGAATTTATATACTTATTTTAGCAAAGCTAAAACTAGTGATATCTGATATGATATCTAATAATGTTTTCCTTATAACGTTCTGTCGATAAAATTAATGTCATAAAAGTTTAGCACAAAAAATCAGTGTGGAGAATTTCAAAAGGATAATCGTGAAATTCGAATGTTTTTTTTAATTAAATGCGTTAATTATCTTTATTGGCATTCTAGCACCTGCACATGTCACCGATTTTGCTATATAGTTAACCATGAAAAATGGATTGTTACTTTTCCATTCATTAAATTATTATATTTGATCTATCAGAATAGAATCGTTTTACCTGAGTAATTTTCGACGACAATTCTTAATTTTCACCGAAATTCTGAAGATATATTTTAAGTTTTTGTTATGCATCTGATGATACGCCCTCATTTAAAGCCAAATATCTGACGATATTGTTTGGTTTCTTATCATTAAACTTTGAATAATACGCTTTTGTCCTCGTTATATATTTAATTATCATACGTCTTAAGCATATTATGGTATTGTATCATACATCATAATTTTTATTAAACTTTCACTGAATATGTCGTTTTCTAACATTACACCTAATTTTCACTGTACATCTTGATGATACACCAATGATTTTCGTCAACCATCCGATAATACGTCGTAATTTTTATCAAATTTTTGATTTATATCAGAATTTTTGACATAGATCCAACGGTATGTCTTAAGAAATATATCTGTCTTAAAAGTTTTAAAAATGTTAAAAAGCTTTTACCAAATGTTCATTTGTTATGTATTTCAATGAAACAAACTGATATCAAATTTATCAACAAAATAAGAACGAGAGGAATAAGTAAAGCATGAAAAATTTCAAAATAAAATTGTACATGGAATAAGATTATGCTTTGATCACTATAAAACTATTGCTTCATGATTAGTTTATAAAGGCAAATCTTCTTATAATAAGTTAACTTACACGGGCATATAACAATGACTGAAGCATTTTATCGAGATCTGATCTTTTCCCGAGTACAATTACTTCACAATCATCTAACTGAGGCATATTCTTTTAGCTGTATAGAAATGCTGATATCCAAGAAAAATATATTAATTGGAAATATGAACTGAATATAGCGTAAAACACGTGATCTTTCACGTAAATCCATATAGCTAAATTAATGATGTAAAATGCTGAGTGTGTACGATAACAAGTTGCATGCATAATTTCATATCATTCATGGATAACATGCAATGTTTAATCATTATTAGCAAGCTAATTACAAAATTCCTATACTAATACGATTGTAAAGTTATGCAATTCCTAGTGCAAAATAATGCACGAAATGTAAGTTATCTATGTGAAAATGTGCAAAACAATCAAAAAAGTTTGTTGTAAATAAGTCAAGAAATGTAATCCACTAATGAGATTAATTAATCCTTCAAACTTACTATTGAAAATTTAAAAGTGGAAAGAGAGAGAGAGAGAGAGAGAGGAAGGAG